TGATATGTAGCGTATATAAAAAGAGGGGTGGAAGAGAATAACTTCTTTGATACCTTTCTAAGTATTTATATAATTATTACAAGGCAATTCAAGTTATACAATTTGGGTGATTCTAAATTCACCTGCACATAAACCATATTTTTATCCTTAACTATATAAATATTTTTTATATTTATATATACGAGGAATAATGTTATTGTAAATATATTAATAAACCTATTAAAAAAAATTAAATATCCTACCAATCATCCTATCAATTTAAATGATAATATGTATCATATTAATATTTTAAAATATCAGTAAATTTTATTAAATGAGTATTAAATGTTATACATATTATGATTTTATTGGATATAAATATATGTAAAAAGAAAAATTAAAAGGATATTTAATTTCTCATATAAAAATCATGATAATTGTTTTAAAAAACTAAAATGATTTTCAACATCAATAATAGTTAATCATGATAATTGTTTTAAAAAATTAAAATGATTTTCAACATCAATAATAGTCCATACCTTTGCTTAGCTTCCAAAAGCGAAGGATTAGATACCCTCGCCCATGATAAGACTAGAATTGTTAATGCATCAACCTTTTGAAAAGACCATTATTATTATCAAACCTAACACAACTTTGACTTTTCTTTCTCATTGCCTCTCACCAAACAAGAATCCTTTATATCACATTTGGTAAAATAACTTTGTACATATGTTTTTTAAGGAATATATACCGATTGAATAACCAAAAGGATCATAAATAATGTAAAAAATATTAATTACATATTTTAGTTTTATATATATATATATATATATATATATATATATATATATATATATATATATATATACCGATTGAATAACCAAAAGGATCATAAATAATGTAAAAAATATTAATTACATATTTTAGTTATATATATATATATATATATATATATATATATATATATATATATATATATATATATATATATATATTAAAGAAATGAATCTTATGACACTACAAAAAATATATCATTTAGTGACACACAAAGAGTGCCACTTAAAACATAAAAAAAATACCACTAAAGGTTTCTCATAGAATCTGCAACACATATAATAAATGTCACTAGAAATGCTCCCACTAAAACCCTTTAGTAACACTTTTAGTTTTTGCCGCTGCAATTTTTTAAGCTTTTAGTGACACTTTTTTGTTTGACACAGTAGAAAAAAAAAATCGCGACACATCTTTTGTGCCATTAAATGCCTCATTCTATTCAAAATTTTATTTGCCACTTTAGTGGCACTTGTTTATTTCTCATAATACAAAACGTCATCTCATAATGCACACCACTGAACCTTTTCCTAAAGTTGGCAACAATATGCCTTGCACACTGTCTGTGTTAAGCATTAGACATTACTTCTTTCACAGCCTCCAATAGCCCCTATACAATTTAAATTCATATGTTAAGAAATGGAATTTTATTAACAAGAAATATGAAGTATAATAAGTGATATACCTTATGTTGATATGACATCAGGGTGATACCACTACCATCATCAACTTGTAGATCATCTTGAAGATTCTCCAAAAACCATTTCCAATTTTCTTTATTTTCCACACACACAACTGCTCATGCTATTGGGAAAATATGGTTGTTAGCATCTCTTCCTACGGTACATATCAATTCTCCACTACATAATCCCTTTAAGAAACAACCATCCAGGTTTATTACTCTTCTACAACTTCCTTTCCAACCTTGTTTCAGCCCCTCAAAGCATATGTAAAACTTACTAAAATATGTCTTCCCATCAGGCATACTGTTAACATCCAATTTGACAGTTGATCCTGGATTGGATCTTCTTATCTCTTCACCATATGACCAAAGCTTGGCATAATGCTCAACTAGTGTACCTTCAATAAGTTCAATTGCATATTTCTTTGCTCTTCTACACTGTCCCATACTCACATCAATTCCAAATTTTTGTTTTACTTCTTCCTTTAGTAGCCTAACACTCATTTTTTGTTTTTGTAAAAATTTAGATGTGAAATGGCTACCAATCCATGCATAGCTTACAATTGACCCCATTTTAAAATTTCTAGCACAATTATGGTCATCTATAAGAGACTTAATCTGAAATGAATTTTCCTCACTCATCCATGAAGCCCACAATCTAAACTTGCATTGCCTTTAACAACATTTAACTAAAAGCCTCCTACTATCATTTTTTATAGCACAATTGATATCCTTTAGCAACAGCATAATTACACAACATATGTTTTAATTGTTTAGGATTTTCAAATCTCATTCCTAACACAGGTTTTTGTTTTTTCCAATGAACATTTTCATTAAAAGCTGTTACCTCCTCATGAATTGGGTCGTGGTCATCCATCTGATCAAATGGATCTTCATGAGATGGATCCTCTTGAGGTGGAGTGTCTGGAGTTGGTTGTTCCTTGGGGCAGAGCTTGTTCAAAAATACATCATTCAAGGTCTTGTTCATGGGAATGCAATCTCCATCTTTAAAGTTGTCGTCCAAATCAACTTGCACTTGTACTTCATCTAGGTCAATGCCTCCTTCTGCCTCAACATGCAACTCTTCTACTATTTCACCTACACCAGAAAACTTGTCCTCGGGGGTGCATACTTCAGCCATCTCATCAACAATCCATTGATGAACATGAACACCAACATGATCCATGTACACAGAAATTACACAACCAGAATCATACCCTACTTCGATAAACTCCTGGTAGTCTTTCTCACTTACTATTATCCTCAGTCCTTTAGGGAACTCGATAATGGGCATGCAAAAGTACACATCAACACACGTCTCGTTTGCGAATCTCTAAATGAACAATAGAAATTCGTTTTTGTCCATTCCAACAAAATCCACATCCTCAAACCTTTGCTTCACTCCATCTGAGTAACTGATCATTGGATACCTCGTAAACAAACCAACAAAATGAAGATCTATCTTCATGTAGACGGCCATAGAAAAAATCCAGGTTTGATTTTTGGATGAACAGTAGAAGAAAAAGAAGATATTGGTAGATGAAACCGATTAAAGACGAAAATTACTTGGAAAGGAAGGGTTGGTGTCATTTATCGATACACTAACATGTGGCATATGATTTAGTTTAATGACCTAGCTTTCTTTTATTGACATGTCCAAGAAATAATGCTGATTGGGATTGGGGTCACCGGGTGACCCCTTCACTTTATAAAAAAATGGCCAAATTAGCCAGTTAAATGTTAGTTTATGCCCTTCTAAAGCCAAAAAATAAAATAAGGGACCTTTTAAACCAAAACTTGTAAGTTAGTGGGGCTACAGTGACATTTTCCCAAATAACTTTGTACATATGTTTTTAAGGAATATATACCGATTGAATAACCAAAAAGATCATAAATAATGTAAAAAATATTAATTACATATTTTAGTTATATATATATATATATATATATATATATATATATATATATATATATATATATATATATATATAGGTTCAGGTTTATTTAAGACCATTCTAATTTTGTGAGACCGTGAGACCAAATTTAAAAATAATTTTAAAATGAAAAATAAATGGAAAAATCCAAAAATTCTTTTTTAAATATTATTTTCGGAACTTAAATTAACTAAAAAAAATATAAAAAATTCCATTTTTTTTTGGAAAATACGTGAAATATTCTAAATAGAATATTACACTGACATATTCTAAAAAATAATTTTAAAATGCAAAATAAATGGAAAAATCTAAAAATTCTTTTTTTAAATATTATTTTCGAAACTTGAATTAACTAAAAAAAATAAAAAAAAAATTCTATTTTTTTTTAAAATACGTGAAATATTCTAAATAGAATATTACACTGTACATATTCTAAAAATAATTTTAAAATGCAAAATAAATGGAAAAATCAAAAAATTCTTTTTTTTAAATATTATTTTTGGAACATGAATTAACTAAAAAAAATTAAAAAATATTAAAAAAATAAAAAAAATTAAAAAATGCGTCTCACGGTCTCACAAAATATAGTTGGTCTCAAATGAACCTAACCCTATATATATATATATATATATATATATATATATATATATATATATATATATATATTAAAGAAATGAATCTTATAACACTACAAAAAATATGTCATTTAGTAGCATACAAAAAGTGCCACTTAAAACATAAAAAAATGCCACTAAAGGTTTCTCATAGAATCTACGACACATATAATAAATGTCACTAGAAATGCTCCCACTAAAACCTTTTAGTGACACTTTTAGTTTTCGCCGCTGCAATTTTTTAAGCTTTTGGTGACACTTTTTTGTTTGACACAGTAGAAAAAAAAATCGCGACACATCTTTTGTGCCATTAAATGCCTCATTCTATTCAAAATTTTATTTGCCACTTTAGTGGCACTTGTTTATTTCTCGTAATACAAAAAATATTTTTGGCACGTATATGCAAGTAAATACTAATGCAATTTTATAATTTAGGCTTACTTATATCAACATAATTTTTTATTTATAAAAACAAAAATTATAATACGCAGAAAACAATTAAAATTCCATTATTTTTATCAATATTTTTTAACTTTTTGAATCAAATGTGTCTAAATGTGGAACCAAGTACATGCTAAACATAGAGTAACAAACGAAAGTTAAAAAAAAAAAAAAAAGGCAACTTGAAACTTAAGTGCAGATGAACTTCTTTCCCAAACTTCATGCTAAGTTGAATAAATCTTGCTATCTTGTACTCTTGAATTAATACTAGCAATTTCCTGTCCAAAAACAAACAATTATGATTCAAAATACAGTTAAATAAGGCATAATTTAGAAAATAAATAATAATTAAGGACAAATTAACCATGTAGATAAGAACAAACTGAAGACGAATGCAACATAGAGATAAGCTGGAAAAGGATAATTGCATCAAATATACTAGAGAAAGATAAAACCAATGTTGAGGTCCATATTGGAAAAAGAATCTACTTACAGATGCAAAAAAAAAAAGACTTTTTGTTATACCAAGTATTGATCCATCTGGTCCCATGTGCACTGATTAACACAACCTGATGCATTATCTTCCAAGATTGTCTAGACACAAAGTTAATCATGATTCATATCAGATAAATATTCAAAATATTAAAAATGATACAATATATAATAGATATGAATCTATGAGCACAAACTAAACACCCTACAAGTGTATGAATATGGAAAGAAGCAAATGATAAAGGAACATTACCCGAAAAGACATTGAGCAAGAAGATAAATCCCAAACTTTGAAAGGTTTATACACCATCCTTTCTCGAATTCCGACATCCCAAACACTTATGTCACCATAATTTGTTCCAGCTGCAAGATTCAATTTGCACATAAAGCTATAACAATCTATATACCTTTTTTTTCTCCAATCCTTAAAGGAACAATAGCACTAAAACCAAAAGACCGGGGATCAACCTATGAGAATACATTAAGTTATATGACATAAATCATAATTTATGTCTAATTGCAGTTTGAACATCAGGCTAATAAGGTCAAACTACACAGACATAAAAATGTACGTGATTGACTTGATTGATCTCTTTTAGTAGAGTTGTGTACCTGATTGATCTCCTCCAGTTGCAGAAAGCTCATAACTTTGATCATTAATCTCACTATCAATAGGGATATCATTTGAGGTGATGAATAATCTCTTATGCCTACCCATCCTGCTATAAAACCACAACAGATAAGTACATGCTATATCCAGATATAAAAGTTGTAGCAAATTCAAGGAAATAGACAATGAGGCCACCAACACAACTGAAGAAAACATGATATATAGCTCCTTACAAATATATAAAAGTTTCAAATGGAGTGTAATTCAAGAAATCAGACATGGTATATATAGCTCCTTATAGATTTCAGTTCTCCATGTGAGGATGTTCTATTTTTCTACATATTTTTCGGATTAATTCATGTTATAATCTTTGTATGCTTAAGGTAGTTATTTAATCTTAAGATAGAACGTAAATCTTATGGTAAGCCAGATTGATTAATTTCATCTGTTTGAATTCTTCACATTACACATAAATCTAATAACTATTACAACAAGATAATGATTGATTCAGCAACTAAGCTTTTCAAAGTGCATTAATCGGTATCAAATTTTTCACAATATTAATCCATGACATAATTAAGAATAAATAGTTCTAATAGAATACATTAAGAGTAGGAATAGAAAGCTAGCAACAGAAATTGAAAACATAACTCAGTGTATAAGAGTTGGATTAAGAGGATTGAAGCTAAAATAGACATGAAATACATGTTTGGGGAAGTGATGTCGATAATAGTTCAAAATACAGCACCGATGATGGCGTAGGGAGATGACAACCTGTAGTGCGGGAGTGTGATTGTGCGGCGACGTGATTGTGCGGTGCCGATGAACTGGAAGACGGCGGCAACGAACTAGACGATGGTATCGTGATGGTGCAACGATGGCGACGGGAGGATGGTGATCGTACGCTCAAATACTCGTTATTAGCTGGAATGGATTTAGGTCTGAACTATTTGGGGCATATCAGTGTTACATAAAATAATTTCCCTTCAATAAAATATACAATTAAAATATATTTTTTTTTCTAAATCTTATTCCATTCATGTTTCATTGAATAATTTATAAATGGAACTCTATTAAAGAAATTAGTTTTTTTTTATAAATAACTTAGAAAACGAAGTAGCCTATTGTTTATGTATGTCTAATATTCTTTTTTCAATTTATTAACTTTTAAGGTCACCAAACTTATCTTTTTTGCAATAATAATAATAATAATAATAATAATAATAATAATAATAATAATAATCTTAATTTTAATAAAAGAAAACTTTTAGTAGCATATTAAAACATCAGGTCATTAATAATTATGAATATTAGTGACATAAATGGTTAAGTGTCATTAAATCCATTACATTTTATAGTGACACATAAAATATGCCACTATAAACATGCTATAGTGGCACATCACTCATATGCCATTAAAAATGTATGCCACTAAATGACATTTAGTTTGTAGTGGTTTCTACTCCACTAACCAAGGAGGAACTTGCAAATGAAGCACATCTTCAGTATGGCCAACCCCCTGCACCAGCTTCAGTTAAGACTGAACAATCAGGGCCAATTGAGGGTGTCGAGATGAAGGATACTAATGATTCTACTTCCTATGCAGGTAAAGTAGTGGAAGATAAGAACAAGGATAACACTATTGAACAAAACAATGACTACTTAAACTCTGAATTTGTTGTTTCTAACACAATTTCTACTAACAAACCTGCTGTTGACAAATACAGGCCACCAAAACAAGCGAAGCAGACTACTTGCTGCAAGTGTGCTTGTGGGAACAATTAAAGATAGGGCTAGAGCACGTCACCAGGGGCAGCAAGAAACAATTCCTATGTGAAGAAAAAGACATGTTTTCACTATGGAACACCTAGACACATTGTCAGAAATTATCCTAATCGTGCATATGTTCCCTACTACGCACAAGGCTGGTAGATTGTGGCAAGAAGGAAATACTCCAAAGGAAATCATTCGAAGTCACAATCGTGCAATGGCGACTGGAATGCCCAGAAGGCCAAAAATCTAACTTCCATAGTCAAGAAGGGAATGTCGGCCAAGAAGTCTAATCCAAGAGATGCTCCAGTGAAACCAAGATTCGTTAGGTCAAAGTCATCTCGAAGATCGGCTTCCAATTCAAAAGCAAGTGTCGAGGCACCTATCCGCTCGAAAAAGAAATGGGTTAAACCCAACTACCAAGGGGTACCAAAGGTTCAAACTCCCAAATCTTCTAATGATTCTAATATTTCTTCATCTTCCGTGTCTGATAAATAGGATATGTTATGATCGAGAGTACCTTGCAAGGATGAAAAAGGTCGACCGAGTTTATAAATCGATTGGGTTCTAAAGACCAACTGATCCCGCTCTGTACTAGAGCAACTATGGAGGCATATCATCAGACTTTGGTTTGTTGGTAGTGGCTGTTCCAGGCACATGATAGGGGACATCTCTCAACTGTACAACATTCAGAACTTACTTTGAGAGTATGTATCCTTTGCGGGAAAAGGAAGAAAGGAAAGGATCACACATGGGGTTTGTTCTTAACGATGTGAAGAATTTTCGGATCTGTTATGAGATTATGCGTGCTGTTCTCAGACCTTCTGGATGCAAATTCAATCGGTGACTTAGGGTTTGTGTTTTCTTCTTGATAGTCCTGATTTTATCTTAAACTGATTCGTTTTGAAGACAATCATTTATTTTCTTATAGTTTTTCGTTTGAAAGTTTTGTTAATTGGGAAGTGATATTAAGTCTTGTGCTAAAGGGCAATTTATGATGCGTGTAATGCACTAAAGCCGAGTTGTATAGACTCTGTGTTCAATGTGCTGGTAGGCATAAAGGATTCAAAAGGACTAGACATTGATTGACAAATGAAAGGACTTAACAATATGGACTTAGATAGTTTCATTTGGACTGACCATACGACACTTGGGTAGATTGAGCAATGAGATAAACATGGGAACCTGTAGGATACACAAAAATTCATATGTATCTAGAACTGTGGCTTAACATTTCCTCGATGTATAGACTCATTTCCTTAATTTTGGTACCGATAGGGCGACTGGGGGTTCTGATAAAGTAGGTCTGTAGGAAATTATTTTCTTGTTTTCTATCTGTCAGTCATATGTTGCATCCTTTGCGTGATTGGAGCATATCCGATCTGGAATGCAACATATACAACTCTATCTCTATGCGTATCATTATCTATGAAATTCTTTCTATCTGTTAGCCATATGTTGTCCCCTATGCGTGATCGAAAGATCCGACATAGGACACAACATATGCACTCTACTATTTCTATATCTCTTTATCTCTGTTAGTCATATGTTGTTCCCTCTGCGTGATTGGAATACATCTGACCTGGGGCACAATATATGCATTTCTATATCATACTTTTTCTTAATGATTGAATACTCAACTAAAATAATGAGTTCTTTGGAAGTTATTAGTTACCGGGGTATATCGGGAAATGGGAAACATACTCTTGTACATTTAAAATTGAACCATTTAATAGTTTGTCTATAGATCTCGCTGCTTAATTTAAGTGGACAATAATATCCTTGGCCATCGCCAGCTAAATGGTCTATTTAGGAATATAGGTGCAATGTCCTGTCACTTATAATCTGTCCAATTTGTCAAATATTCTTTGTGTTTAAGTGGACCATAATACCGGTGATTAACCAGATCTAAACATGCATGCGTGTGGATATAAACAATATTGAATTGCCTAACAACTTTGATCCCAAAATAGTCTTAAATTTAGCTACTGTTTTTGTTTTTGTTAAATTTCTACATAGTTTTCCCTATGGACAAATTTAAGGTGGAGAATTAAAAAAATTTTAAAAATCAGAAAATCAAAAATTCAAAAATAGTGTTATTTATGTTTTATTTTTCTTTTTTTTCTAGAAATTTCAAAAAATCTAAAAAATGAATTATTTTGTTTCTGCTTTATTTTTTCAGAAAATATGATAAATCCAGAAATATTATGTGTTGAGTTTGTTTTTAGTTTTGTTTTTATCTCAAATTTTCATTGTCTTGAAAAGTGAATTCAGATGTAGATGAGACTCATGGAGATTGTATCGGGATTTTTTGAGCAAAAAGCTTCATCTGTGATCATCAAAGAATTCTCATTCGAAGCAACAGGAAATGAAGATTATTCTTTCAACAATCAATCTTTCAACCCCAAAAGCAAGATGAAGCTGTTCTTGAAGATTATGTTACAGATTGCATTGAATCATCCCCAATCAATTTGTTGCTATCTATGAACCAGCTGAAGTGATCCACAAGATTAGCTCTCTATGTTGTTCTCTCTGACGATTCTCAAGCTGAAAGCGCTATTTTTCAAGAATCTTTACAACAAGCTTCCTCACCTAATGTGCGTTCAAAGACAAATTTTGAAGAAAAACCCAACTGCTCAAGATGAATTCATTTATTGAAGATTCATCAAGTTCATCTTGAACATGTGAAGAAATCGAAGATTAACGCTGAAGCTAAGCTCCAACTGAAGATTGACAAGAAAATGCAACTACATTTTTAGGGGGAGTTTGTAGGGTAAATTAGAAAAGAAAGCTATAAACCAAGGGGGAGATTGTTGGGTCTAAAATATGGTGTATACTTTGCTTTTCTAGGCAATTGGGTTTTCGGTTCATGTGGTTGGGAGTGTTCACGGCCCACGTGGGTGTTCACGGCCGTGAACCTGTTCACGTACATTGTTCCATATAAATAGTGTTAGTTGAGTCAAAAGTGTATATGCCTAGGGAGGGTGCTAAGTATGTGCAAATCAAGGTGTCATAGAGAGAGAAAATAGAGAAAAGAATAGAGAGAGTGTATGTGAATCTAGTGTTGGATTATCATTCATATCATATAAACATCATAGATTCATCTTATTCTTCTTCTCCTTCTTGGCGCGTTCTGCAATCCTTGTGCGTAGCAGGGAACATATACACGATTAGGACAATTTATGGCAATATGTCTAGGTGTTCCATAGTGAAAACATGTCCTTTTATTTACGTAGGAATTGTTTCTTCCTTCCCCTGGTGGTGTGCTCTTGCCTTGTCTCTGATTGTTCCCACAAGCACACTTGCAGCAAGTAGTCTGCTTCGCTTGTTTTGGTGGC